TTTTGCAAAGTTAGTAACATGTGACAGAAGGTTTACTAGTGACTAATAGCTGACTTTAACTAGACAGGGTGGTTATTTCAGGACTGAGGAAGCTTGTTTGCTTTTGGCACTGAGATCTAGTCCTGCCTACACACATTTGATCAGTATCCTAGCTTCCTTGGCTCCCAACATGTCTACCATTTTTGTTTTGTCCTGTCAGAGGTGTGTGTTCCATTGCAGTTCTGTATTTGGAGGAGTCTTTAAAGGACATTTTCATACTTGATGCTAGTCCAAAGACTGTAGGTACTTGAATTCAGCAAAATAACCTAATATAGACCAATAGTCCATAATAGTAGTGAGTTATCAGCATATCTGGCAATTGTCAGAAGTGTTGACTTGAGCCTTTTATAGCTTGGCATATTAATACCCTTCCTTAATTTTGGGTGTTGGGTATTTAATCTTAACAGTGAGAGAAAAAGCAGAATTCTACATCCAGTTTATACCTGTGTAAATTTTAAAATGAAGTTTTTCTTTTCTAGTAGTCCCTTACTGTTTTAACTCATTAACTTGGGAAAATTATTTTGAGTAATGTATATAACTTTGAATAAAATATATGTATATGTAAGAAAAATACTACCAAAGGTTGACATACTTTTTCTCTAAAGATCTAGAGAGAAAATATTTTCATTTTGGAGGGCCTTATGATCTTTGCCAGACTACATTTTTCTGCTGTTGAATAATGAATACAGCCACTGACAGTATAAGAGTGAGTGAGTGAGTGAGTGTGTGTGTGTGTGTGTGTGTGTGTGTGTTTTCCAATAACATCTTATTTATGAAAACAGAGAGTAGATCAGATTTGGACTGACTCATCACCTTAGGGATACTTCTTTGCATGTTTAGAAAAGAATAACTATAGAAACCTCACTCTTTTTTATATTCAGGTATTTTTTAGGAAAGAATTTTATGGTTTATATGTATAATCAAGGATCTGTAAGTGCCTATTCTTCAGATGTTCAGGTAAGATTTAAGTTTTCTGATTTATAAAATACTCAGGTATTTCCCTTTTGAATGACTGCTTTCCTCACAGAAATCTCTCGGTATATAAGGTGTTTATTTTTAAAAATTCCTAGTCTTCGTACACTAAAGACACTATATTGACTTAGCATCTTTCAAAGTGACCTGGAACACAGATACTATTGTTTACTAATTAATTTATATTTTGTTGAATAAATGAATATAAATTAAAGTATAATAAACAGGCGTAAATATGAGATGCACTCACTGGCCCAGACCCAGAATGTACTCAGAGGCAGGAAGAGTGGCAAAAGGGAGGCTTTCATTGGTCTTTCAAGGCTGGGTGTCCACTGACTAGGCACACCCATAGCAGTTACAGTAGGCATTGTTTCTAGGCCCTAGCATGCAGGTCTCTTCTGCCAGTTCCTCACTGGCTGAGTACTATGAGGGTACAGTCTTCCTGGATGCTGCTAATTTTCTTTTTCTTTTTATAAGACAGTTCCCATGCACACCTCCCTATTTGAGATTGGCTTTCGTTCTACTACTTGCCTATTCTTGAGTCTGGGACTTTCTGAGAAGCAGCTGCTCCTCTTTAGAGATTTTATGTGTTGGCCTGCCTGGGGGCCAATGGAGATTTTCAAGGATGAGATGCAAAGGTTAAAGAATACATGTGTGCAAGACATCAGCAACAGCAGCAGGTAGCATGGGGCCAAGTAGAGCACAAAAACAAGAGTAATAATTGCCTTCACTTTTATTATATAATCTTATACACATTGTTGTCTCATATTTACATTCTTATATAAAGCCATAACATGCATGTTTACCTGTGCTATATTGTGGTGATATAACTATCCCACTGTGTTCTTGCACTAGACAACTGGTGTCACATCCTCAGGGGTCCTTGGATGACTCTGAGCTTTGAAGCACTCTGAGTGGGCTCTTATATCATGCAGCCTTGTGATTATCACATTTCTACTTAGCTATCTTAATCCTGAAAATGGAGCACTCTGTGCTTTTCTTCTCCATTCTCTACTCATACCTACCTATTTTAACAAAGGTTTTTTTTACTGGTTATTTATTCCCCAGGTCCCCTTTACTAAAAGGCTTTCTAGATGCGTTAACTTAATGGCAGAGGAAGGAGGGGAATGTTGCCATAAGCAGGCCTTCTTTAGGAAAAGGAAACCAAATCTATGTAGAAACCAAGACAGGTACACGACCCCCATTTTCCAAGCCAATGCGGCCTATGCTGATCTCACTTAGAATCTTGCACATGATGCTTACAATACCAGTGCACCAATGTGTGCCCTCAGAAATACCCCTCCATCAGCCTTCTGGGAAGAAGAAAACCCTTTGCACTAGCTCCTCAAGGGAATCCAGAGACTGACCAGCTGTTAGGCAGTTTTAACTGCCAGGAAGTTTACACTCAGTGTCAACTACTTTGTCTTGAAAAATGTACCACATCATGTTTTTATTTTCTTACAATTGGTAACAAATTATTGATCAAAAACTTTTATTTATCACCCAGCTATCGGCAAACAGAGGAGAACTGATATCTAATTGGTCTCCTCTGAAGCACAAAGGAAAAGTTGTTACAGCTGAGATCACGTTGTTTATCTGGGCATGTACTAATGGATAATGGAAGGTGGATGAGTCTTTTGTGTTACTTGAATTTCTTGTACCCATGTTTGAGTGAATAGAAATAGGATGAGACTGATGCTGGAGGTGGGTGTCCTCTGTCCTGAAATCGAGAGCCCCATGACTGCCTGCATGTTAAACTAACTCTGCATCTGTTTGACATTCATTACCCTTTGCCCCAGTTCTGAGTGACAAACTGGCAGAACTAGAACCTTACAAGCAGTGCTGGGTGGAAAAAGACTGGACTGGGCTGCTCCCCCCAGTGGCTCCAGGGACAGGGATCTGGGGCCAGTAGACTGCTCTGGAACATGCAGCTAATCTATCAATATATGCTGTTCAGCTTGTCCTTAAAGCTACAAATTCATCATTCATCTTCCTCCTCTGTCTCCATCTACTCCATCTGTGACCCCTTTCCAGTAAAACACATATCTAATTTGGATCACTGCAGTAACTTCTTGAATAACGTCCCATCCATTTACACACCTTCCATTTACTCATGTTAGAGTCTGTCATCAGATCATGTGAGTTCTCTGCTCAGAACTCTTTTGGTGATGGCTTTCCTTTTCTTATAAAGTACATTCTTCAGCTGTGTCAGAGCTTCCTATACTTCACACTGTCAGGTTCCCTCTCACCCCCTCAACCCTCTCACCTTCTTTCCTCTTACTCTCTACCTTTCTCATTTTGTTCCAGCCACACTGGGCTTCTTGTTGTTCTACTAACATATTAGTCATGCTTTTCTTTTCAGTAACTCTGTCCTTTCCATTTTCCAGAATACAAAAGCTTGTTCTGTTCCAAAATATCCATGCTTTTCTTCCTCATTTTCTCAGGAATTGACTCAAAATTACATCCTATTAGTTCTTAACTAAGCACCTTTTTAAATGATAGTTTTACTCTTAGGATTCTCTGTATTTCCTTTGCTGTTTGCCTTTTCTCTGTATGAGCTGTCAGTGTGGTTTGCCATATTGTTTTCTGTGTCTCCACTTGAATATAATTTTAGTGAGAACATGGAATTTGGTTTGTTTTAATCACTGAAATTGCCTTGGTGTCTAGGAATGTACCTAGACATACTTAATATATAATAAAAATGTGTTGAAAAACTAGATTGGCCATCATCTTGCTTCACTTATAATGGATAGGACCATTATTTCTCTTTCTAGTTCCTTTTTCCTTCCCTCACTTCCATGATAAAGCACTATGTTAATAAGAAACCTTGCATTTATCTATTCTAAAATTGATGGCACCACTGACTATTGGAGATGTATGTAGGCCTTCTTTCCTTTGCCAGTGTTTGCTGCTCAGTATACGTATAGTTTGATGATTTTGTGATCAGAGATGAGACTCTGTATGATCTGTATGATGAGTCTCAGTGCTTTGTGATTTGATGATTCCAGCCCTATGACCTAGAATATCATTTGATTTTTTAGCATGTTCCATATTTTAGTATTTTTCATTGTTTTCTACATAGATAGTTCAGTTCAAGCCTATTCAAAGTTTAAGATATTGTTTATCAGTTATTGAGAAAAATAATGTTCAAAGTTTTTAATGTGAATATGACCTTTCTATTTTTACTGTGCCTTCACTTTTGGCTATATATCTTTTAAAGCTATGTCATTTAATGAATACAGATTTGGAAGATTTGTATCTTTGTTGTGAGTTAAAGCTCTTGTCATTATGAAATGTCCCTTCTTACCTCAAGCATTGTTGTTTTTGGTACAGCTTCCTAGGCTTATAGACCCAAAATTGGTAATTTAGTTCTCTTTCCCATCTTGTAAGATGGTTGGTGAAAAAACTGAGAAGTTAGACACTAAAGAGTAGAGACCTGCAGCCAAGAAGGCTTCTTCCACTGCTATTGGTAAGAAGAGTAAGGTGAAGAAGGCAAAAAGTCCAAGAAGGGGCGGCCCTCCTGCAGCCAAAATCCTGTCCTGGTTAGAGGAATTGGTAGATGCTCCCAATCTGCCATGTAGTCCAGAAAGGTTTTGTATAAGAGTAAGTATACAGCTGCTAAATCAAAGGTTAAGAAGCAAAAGAAGGAGAAAGTTCTTGCAATCATCACAAAACCAGTCAGTGGGGACAAGAATGGAGGTACCCTGGAGGTTAAGCTTCGAAAAATACCTAGATACTACCTTACTGAAGATGTGCCCTGAAAGCTCTTGAACCACAGCTCTTGAGCCACAGCCCTTAAGTCAGCATTTGAGGAAATTTTGAGCTAGCATCACTCACGGCACCATCTTGATCATCCTCACGGGACATCACAGAGGCATGAACGTGGTCTTTCTTAAGCAGCTGGCCAGTGGCTTGCTACCTGTGACTGGTCCTCTTAGCCTTAAAGTGTTCCTCTACAAAGAACTCACCAAAAATTTGTCATTGCCACCTCTACAAAAATTGATATCAGCGAAGTGAAAATCCCAAACATCTCACTGATGCTTACTTCAAAAAGAACCAGCTATGGAAACACAGACACTCGGAAAGCGAGATTTTCGACACCAAGAAAGAGAGATACCAGATTTTAGAGCAGCACAAGGTCGATCAGAAAGGAGTGGACTCACAGATTTTAGCTAAAATCAAAGCTGTTCCTCAGCTTTGGGGTTACCTGCATCTGTTTTTGCTGACAAATGGAATTTATTCTCATTAATTGGTGGTCTAAATTTCTTATTATTTAACCTAATTAAATAACTGATATATTAAAAAAAAGTACAGCAGTTCACACAGTGTATTTCTAGCCTTTTACTCTTCCGATGCTGTCATGTTTTGTGTCTTTACAATAGCATATTATGATTTTAAAGAAATCCACAAATATTTTAGTGGATTAAAGCACCTGCAAGCATGCAGGGGCCAGGGGTTCTATTCCATCCTTGGACCTGCCTTTTCGGCCCTGCCCCCAGGGGTTGCTGAGAAAGAGATTGAGACTGGGCATGGTGGTGTGCACCTGTAATCACAGCATTTGGGAGGCTGTGAACAGGAGAATCATTATGAGTGAGACCCTGAACACCCTGTACACCCCTCCTTAAAAAATACAGAAAAAAAGAAATCCAGATATATAACTTTTATCTTTCATTTGATGAGCTAAATTTACATATTGAATAAAAATCTTACCTAAAAATGAGATGACACTTTGGAATAAGGGTATAAAATAATACTCACAAATCATAATCTAACTAGAATATTTAACACAGTACAGAAGTAACTAAGTGGAGACTTTCTGCATGTCACTTTGTTCACACTGTTCTGAGTCATGTCACCTGGGAACAGCATTGAGAAGGTACTGTGAAGTATGAAGGTAGGAAATGATTAGAGAATATATAGTTCTGAAATAACCAGTTTACTTTTTCTTTTTTCCTAGCCTCAATGCTATTATCAAGGATATATCGAAGGGCATCCAAATTCTATTGCCACATTGACCACATGCTCTGGACTGAGGTTATCTGTTTCCTGTTATTGATTACAGAATAGTATAGTTAGGATTTTGGTTACAGTGAATTTATTCCATTTGTATTAAATGGACAACTAAAGTAGGTTTCCTATTTTTAATAGAGATTTTTCAGTCAGATCCTCTGCTGAACTCATTCCCACTGTTTCCCATTTCTGCTCACTTTCCTCACTGACCAGAGACGTTTCTAAGTTCCATAAAGGTTTGGATTCATTATTTCTTTGCTCTACTCCTTAATTTTTTTATCTACTGAAATAACAATTGCAGTACATTGGCAAGATAGATTTAGGATGGCTTTTTTAGCAAATATACAATTGTATCTATGACATATCCCAGTGTTAGGAGATAGAAAAATAAAGATTAAGACAGTGTTACTTTTTTTCAGAGAAATTATCTTCAAAATAAGAGGGAAAATTACATGTAAACAAGTAATTATTGATATCATATTTGAATTTTTTACAAATAATATTACTGTTTTGAACTCTTGAACAATTATTGGGTTTCTTTTTCTCTGATTAGAGAGATTTTCTCTTTGTCAGGCAGTTCTCTTCCTTGTTTTCTATTGACCCTTGCTTTGATAAACAAGTATTGAATTTTCACCTTTTCTTACATGAATACTAAAATGTAGACCTTATAAGTAAATTACATAAGTGTTACTTATGCTCAGGTAATGAACATAAGTAATTAAATAGCTTGCTACAACTTTCAGTATCAGTTAGAAACTTCAGAATCTTGATGATTTTTAATTTATTTTTATCAATAAAATTTATTTCACAGTTACTGCTAAGTTTTATTCTTTAAATAAAATTACACTTTAATATATTTTATATAGTACAGTTTTTTCAAAAATATATCTACTGAGAGAAAAATTCCACTTATTATTTCCACTTATTATTGCTTTAAAAATTTCCACTTATTATTGCTTTAATAAGACACTGAGTTGAAAACTGAGGCAATCATTTGATCATTATAATATGCTCCTAGAAGTTGATTTGATAATTGATTATGTATTGCTTTTGTAACTGTAAAAATTTTGGTTTCATGCATCAGAGGAAGTGATTTGTCTCTTCAGAGTAAGTGGTAAAACAGAATTCGGAACAAAGCACTGTACTCAGGCACTCTTTTTATCTTTTGAATTTTGTAAGTTGCACAACCGTTTCATTAAAAGCACTTAAGACTTGTTTTGGATTTTGCAGGGGAATGTTGCAGTTTGAAAATGTTTCTTATGGAATTGAGCCTCTGAAATCTACAGTTGATTTTCAGCATATGCTTTATAAATTAGGGAATGGAACCAGTGAACTTGGGATTTTTAAGAAGAATAACAGAAACATGAAATTAAGACAAATGAACTATACAATTTTTACAGATGAAAAAGTGAGTTCTGTACGTTTCATTACTACTTACAAAGTAGGTGTTGCTTCTATGCATATTAAATGTATTAACCTGCACTGCTATTGTAGGAAATATCCTTTCCTTAGGAATACCTTAATAACTTACTAACCTAACAGTTTTCTTGAAACCATATACTACTCTTTTCTTCTTGCAGCATTCCATCTTATGACCCTCTTTATTTTTCTACTTTTGTGATATTCTTATGTCTTTCTAAAATTTTTTTAATTAATTATTTATTTATTTGTGTGCGTGTGTGTGTGTGTGTGGCCAGCTCAGCCCACCAGGGGGCGGGGCTGGTTGGCATGTGGTGCTGGGGAATTGAACTGCGGTCCCTGTGCTTTGCTAAGCTTGTTCTAAGTAGGTGCTTTAGACCACTGAGCCATCTCACCAGCCCCATCTTTCTAAAACTTATGTAGAATATTTCACTATAAATTAAAAAACTCAGTTTCTTCTTTTCTCTTTATATTTGTTGAATATAAAGAGAATTAAAGTGGACATTTATATTGAATATAAAGAGAATTACAGTGGATATTTTATAAAGGTTATATTCTTGTCCAAGGAATGCACATTGATTAAATATATATAAATTTAAAATGCAGCAGTAGGATTGGTAGGTATGGATAATATAAATATAAATTTATAAAATAAATATATATTATAAAATAAATATAAATTTTTCAGAACATGCATTATATAACTGTTCTTCATGAAGCACTTTGAAGGAGAAAAATTTTATGCCAAGTAACATGGGCATAGACAGGTAAATTTAGCTGATAGGAGTGGCATACATGGCCCCTTTTAGTTGTTTTAAATGTTCAGTGCATTCTAGTTGTCACTGTCCTGCTCAACAGAGGAAAATTTCTTGCTTCTAACTTAATATCCATTGATCGCCTTGTTCTCATCCCATCCTCTTTCTCTCCTTCCCTACTTCACTCTGGTAAGAAGAGTTCTGCTCCTCCTCAGAGCTTCTTCAAGAGCAGGGATTTCACATTCTCTGTCTATGGAAGACTTCATGCTACTACTTGTCATGTTACTGCTTGTCTTTCTGTCCCTCTCCTAACATAATGATCTATCATACAAATATCAAGAGTTTCATTCTTTTAATGGATGAGGAATATCTGAATACATATTATCTATTCTTCAGTTGATGCACACTTAAGTTGTTTCTATATCTTTGCTTGACTAGATTTTTAAAATAAAGGACACAGCCTTGGTAAAGTTTAAAAAATATTCAGTGCAGTAATCAAAGTTCAGATATCACTGATTTCTGTATTCAATAAAATGTAAGAAGTATGGATATTGAAAAGTGGCAAGACTATATCCTGAACTGAAAAAGACATGATGGAATGGAGAATGTAATGTAATTACAAATAATTCTTACCCAATTGTGATTGTTTGGCTCACACACATCTCAGGGAACAGTGAGAAACATGCATCCTTGCTTTTTTTTTTCTGCATGTCTTTTTTTCCCCATAATTTTATTGAGAAACAAATAGCAATGAGACAGTTTAAACCAAATTGGTATGACAGTTTCAATAATTAACACATTGCATACATTCTTCCTAGTGGTTAATTGCTGTACAAGATGCAGACATGATATCCTATTTACAAAAACTATTAGAACAAATCCCTCTGTTCATTAAGAGAATGTAACTATATGTCTATCCTAACCATTTTGAATCCACAGATACAAAGTGGACATTAATCTGTATTCCCCTTTTTAGTTCCATTATTATAGGTGTGTTAACTCAGTAAAATATTCTAAAAAGTCCAGTAGTCCATAATAGTATTGGGTCTTTTGCCTCACTGGCAATGTCAGAAATAGTTGGCCTGAGTCCCCTATAGCTCAACATAACACCATGGCTTTACTTCTTATACTTCATTTTTATACTTTTCTGCTGGATGGTTAAGACCAAGATAAAGCAAGACGTATGCAACAAGAGTTGTATCTTTTGGGTCTGATAAGGTCAGTGAATTCCCCTCAGGATTTATCCTGAGATCCTGTACCTTAGATTGCAGATCCTTTGTCAGTGTCAGCCATGTGGATGAGTCACAGCCATTGCTTGGCCAGTGTGCTCTCTGTGAAAGCCTGAGAGAATGTTTTTTCTCCATGTGACTCTCCTTAGGCATACTCTACATCATCGATCACTTTCCTCTTTGGCCCCAAAATCTCCTTGATCAGAAAATTTGGGACACTACCAAGTTACGTGACATTACAGTACATGTTCTTATATGTCCTGAGCCTTAATTGACCTTGAAAGTCTAGGGCCAAAATGTTGGCTTTCCTTGCAGCCCTCCTTTTTCTCTAATTTTGGCCTGCAAACTTAGGTTGTTAACCCTCCAGAAGAGAAGCTTATTGTTATTACCATACAACTTAGGCTGTTAAGCTTAACCTCAGTATCTGTCTGAATATCAAACATCTTAGGCATAACATGGAATTGGTATTTTTTATCAAGTATTGATATGTTGAACTTTAAGTCCCTACAGAATATGATCAAAAAACATTTAAATTTAGAGTATATTTTAAAAATAGTCATAAAGAATTATATACTTCTTATGTTTACACATAAGTCCAAAAATCTAACCATATACAACCTTGAAGCAGGACAGACCCACAACATTCCTTTTCCTGTCTCCTGCCTTCATTCACCACCCCCTTCTTTTTGAACAATCATCTATAAAGAAATCAACCAACAACAAATGTTGGAGAGGATGTGCGGAAAAAGGAACCCTTCTCCACTGCTGGTGGGAATGTAAACTGGTGCAACTGTTATGGAAATCAGTGTGGAGACTCATTAGAAATCTTGGACTGGAAATCCCATTTAAACCAGCTATTCCTCTATGGGGAATTTTCCCGGAGGATCTGAAAACATCATACCATAGAGATATATGTGTGCCTATGTTTACAGCAGCACAATTTGTGATAGCCAAATCTTGGAAACAACCAAGATGCCCATCACCTGAGGAATGGATAAAAAGATGTGGTATTTTTATACAATGGAGTATTACTCAGCTATAAAGAATGATAAACTTGAAGCCTTTATATTGAAGTGGATGCCACTTGAAGATATACTCATAAGTGAAATAAACCAGACACACATGTGTCAATATTGTATAGTCTCCCTAGTATAAGAACTCAAAAGAAGAAATACAAATAGAAAGGTACAATACAAGTGAAAGGAAAGCAAGAAGTCGAGGACTAAGAGAGGGAAAGGAGAAGAGCTAGGAAACATGACAGTGACAAGCCATACAGTTATGTATAGAAGATGGGTAAAACAATGATCCTGAGAATCTCCAGAAGATTTTTTTAATCTAGCAGTTAATTGGAATGATTCTCACCCTGACTAACTATATATACTGATACTTGTGAACTAAGCATCTGCACCGAAGATGGTAATTTGTAATAGTAGGTTCATGCTTGGAGTGCTTGTCATTCTGGTCTTCTCAATACGGGCTGCTTGTCACAACATGCCAGTTGCTGCTGTGCTATCTCTTGGGTAGATGATTGCTTTTTTTTTTTTTTTTGTATTTTAGGGAAGGGTCTACAGGGTATTCAGGGTCTCACTACTAGATCAGATTCGTAGTGATCCGCCCTTTTACAGCCCTCTGAGAGCTGTGATTAGAGGCGCATGCCACCACAACTAGCCTCAGTTGCCCTTTCAGCATGCCTCAGGGGCTAGGCCAGCATAGCTGGCCTGAGGATTGAACCTCTGGCTACTGCACCTGCTTGTAGCCGCTTTAGTCTGCTGAGCTATTTGGCTGGCCCTCTTGCTTTCCAGGTTTCAAGATTTCTGAAGAATAATTATCAATTTTTTGGTATGATTGTCACTCCATTTGTATTTCGACCCACATAAATACATTACTTGTGAAATATCAAATGGAACAAACTGACCAGATTGCTGTGACATAAGCTTTCTCAGAGAAAAATATTCTTTGCTGCACAAGTGTCATAGTCAGGTTTTACAGGGGATAGATTTAATAGAGAACACATAACTCATGGGGTTATTTTATAATATTTACCTGAAGAGTCAAATGTTGAAAAGTGTAGGAGATCTGTCCACACATTAAAGACCCCACAAAATGCAGCTGAGGGCCTAGATCCCATGGCAATGTCCCCTGCGTGAGTCCAGCTGGAGGCTTAGACGACACGGTCTCATGCAAGTCATACCAAGGATCTGCAATGGGAATTCCCAAAGGACATTGTGACAGATGGATGAAAGATCTATGCCAACAGGCTAAGGGATTTGTACTGGAGCCAGGAAGAGACTCTCAAGGTAAGGACTCAAGTTTCCCCAAAAAGAACTGCAGCTGTTCTCAGCAACAGCGAGGACCTGGGCTCCTTCAATGAGAACAGCTGAACTCACATTAGGAAAAGCAGCATGACAAGTTTCTCTAGGAGAATCAACAGCACACCATCCTCCCCTCCAGGTCTCTTTTTATGCTGCTGGCAACAATATTCAGGTGGGCCTTCCACACCCAGAACCAAGCTCAGTTCAGCTGCGTGTTACAAGTTGAAAACTACTTAATCCACCACAAAAAACACATTTTGTTCCGGTTGTCACTTTATGGCAGTGTGTATATTTGGGAATACATATATGAAGGATGGAGGACATGAAGATTAAAATTAGATAAAAAAATTTCTAGTGAGCAATTTTGGGATTCAGAATTACAACCACTTCCATCAAACCAGGTATTAATGGATTAATTTTAGAAAAACAAGGTGAAATATCTAGTTTTTTATCTATGTTGTCCTTTTTATATTATAATAAAATAATTTAAAGAAGAAATTTTATTAATTTTTTTTTGTGGAACCGGGGATTGAACTCACGCCCATGCACTTGCCAGGGAAGCGCTTATTCCACTGAGCCATCTCCCCGGACCCTTTATTACTTATACACATTAAATATACTATATATTTTTATATGTGGCCAAGGATAATTCCTGCACTTAAGCAAGATAAAAGGTTAGACCCTTGCATTTACACATCACCTGTCCCATGGCAACTGAGGGGAATGGGAAAGAGCAATTTCAAATATACCCTAGAGTATGATTTTATAATTGCTGAATTTTATCATTTGTTTTCTTGATAATGTTTTACTGTGCCTAAATGATAAATTAAACTTTATTATAGTTTTGTATGACTATGAAAAACTAAGCACGTAAGTCCCGGTATTATCTGTGATTTCTGTAATGTCTTTTAGTTTAGAATATTCTATATTTAATGTAACTATTGATGTCGCCAGATTGAAACCTACAATTTTTATAATTGGCTTATATTTATCCTATCTGTCATTTGTTCTTTTCTTTAACCCTTTTGAACTTGAGTAACTGTCATAATTCCACTTCTCTTTTCCATATTTATTTATTATTAAAAATTTAGTAGTCTTATGAACTCTAGGATATATACTTTTTAAATCAATTTACTTTCAGAAAACATTCTTTTTGCATGAAGCTCAAGAGCCTTAACATAACAGTCTTCCAGTTAGTTTTCCTTCTATTTCTTTGTGCTCTTACACACATTTGACTTTCACCTGTTTTGTAATTATACAGTAACTTGCCCCTATCCTTTGTTGTAGGGAGTTGATTTTAATATGATTAAAAATAATTAAAATTCAGTTAATTTCATTTTTAGTATTTCTATCATTCTTCATTGTGTAGGCATCTATGTTTGTGTCTATTTCCTTTGCTTAAAAAACTTTCTTTAAGGTCTTGAGCAAATCTGCTCAGGATAGTCTATATGAATTTTGGTTTGCATGAAAGATCCTTTATTACTCAGTTTTGCAAAATCTGTTCACTTTGTTACACAATTTACAGAAAAGTTTTTTTTCTGTCATCATTTTCATATCAATTTATTGTTTTTGTTGCAGAGTTTCTTTCTTTCTTTTTTTTCTTTTTTTTTTTTTTTTTTTTTTGCGGTACCAGGAATTAAACTCAAGACCATGCGCCTGACATGCCAAGCAGGCACTTATTCTACTGAGCTATCTCCCTGGCTATTTCAGAGTTTCTAAAAACCCTTTCTTCCTGGTTGCAGGCCAAGCTCCAGATTTTTCATGTAGTATAGAGGTATGGGTTAAGTACCTTGATTCCTCTTGCCAAGCTAGTTGCCAGGGAGCACTTGAGCTTCTAACCTGGTTGCATGTCCTGCAGTATGGGGGGTAATGTTTTGAGAAATCTCCATACTGATATCTATAGTTGTGATACTTTCCATTTCCGACAACAATGTGTAAAGATTCCCTTTCCCCTATAGCCTCATAAAGATTTACTACTATTTTATTTCTTAAAGATAAACATTCTTTCTGGGGTAAGAAAGAATTTTAGCGTTATTTTGATTTGTATTTCTGTAATGAAGAGTGACCCTGAAGTTTTGCATATATTTATTGGTGATTTGTACTTCTTCAGTGGTCCATGCACCCTGATGTTTATAGCCGCACAACTCATAATATCTAAGTCACAGAAGTGCCCAATATGTATATCAACAAGTAAATGAGTAAAGAAGATATTAATATTTATACACAGTGCAATACTATGGTGCCAAAAAAGGAAAAGCTTGAGTCATTTGAAGGAAAATGGATGTACCTTGAGACCATAATATTGAATGGAATAAATCAGACAGAAACCCAAAATATAAATAAGTTATAGAGCAAAATAAAACATAGTAACAATCAGGGATGTGATCTTTTGCAAAAAGCAAGGGAACAAGACATAGAGGGAAGGGGAAGAGAAGAGAAGGAGAGGGGATGAGAAAGACAATTAAGATGTGCTATGTGCATGTACCAGCTCTTCATGATGAATGTGATTTTTTTTTTTTTTTTCGGAAACGGGGATTGAACTCAGGCCCTTGTGCTTGCCAGGGAAGCACTTATTCTACTGAGCCATCTCCCCTGCCCTGAATGTGATCTTTGTATACTAAAAACAAAGTGAAAAAGAGTGCACAGTAAACAAATTAAGAGAAATTTCAAATTCTACCTGCTGCTTTTTTTTAGGCAGTATCACAAGCTCCAGACCTATTTCCTCTTTATGTGGAAATGCATATTGTGGTGGACAAAGCTTTGGTAAGTGTTCTCCTTTCCCTTTGGTTTTAAATGTGAGATGTAAATGTGTGATGATCCCGTGCAAGAGGGCAATGGGAAGATTCTGTTTTTCTTGCTGACCTGTCATATCATACAGTACAAATAGCTGGAACAACCAGAACATGGTATTATGGAGCGAGTCATATAAAAGATGTGGGATGTAGTTTTTGGTATGACCATTCACTAGAGGTGCTGAAAAATGTAGGTGAATGAGGTGTTTTTGTTTTTGTTTTTGGCCAGCTCAGCCCACCCTAGGAGCAGGGCTGTTGTGGCATGTGGTGCCGGATTTGAACTGAGGTCCCTGCACACTTGCCTAAGCAGGCACTTTAGACCAGTGAGCTATCTTGCTGGCCTGTGAATTTTTTGATCGGAAAATAATGAACTTAGTTCTGTATGTGAATTTAGCTTTTAATGACTTGAGGATCCTCTGGAACAGTATCCTGTAGAGTTCATAGATACATATAGGTTTTAACATTGTTGTAATCAGGAATTTATGAGATTTTAATACACATTACATTCATGTGTGTGTGTGTGTGTGTGTGCGTGCGCACACATGTGTATGGGTGGTTTACTTTGACAGTGTCATCTCAGTCGTCTTGTGCACCACAGCCTAATCCAGGTATTCAAAAGCACCATAACCACAAGGTGCTTTTCGCACTTCAGCGATGCCCTCTTCTCAACCCTAGGCTAACACTAAGCTTTTGTTTGTTTCTATAATTTTGTAAATTTGCATCAAGTTTTCCTACAGCACTTGCTTTTGTTTTTAAAGGCATATTTCTCTTGAAGCATTATCCAAGTGATTCCATATATAAACAGTTCACTTCCTTTTTATTGCAGGGTAATATTCCAAGAAATGAATGTGCTACTTTTTAAACCATTCAATCACTTTTAGAATGTTCATTTTTGTCCATTATGGACAAAACTACATATTAAGAATATTTATATGCACTGGTTTGTATGAGATTCATTTTTCATTTCTTTGGGATAAATGTCCAGGTGTGTGAAAAATGGACCATGTAGTAAGTTCAGTAATTTTTTGCAAGAAGCTGTCAAACTGTGTTCCAGAGTGACCATGCCATTTGACGTTACCATTAAGAATCCAAGTGATCCACCTTATATTCAACCTCAAATCATCCAGCAGATGAAGAGTAACATTTAAAGTGTTACATAAAAACCTGTATGTAAATGTAAAATTAATTCTATTTTACAGTATGATTACTTAGGCTCTGATAGCATGATCATAACAAACAGAGTCATGGAAATGATCAACCTTATAAATTCGGTAAGTCTTTTCCTTTTCACATCAGAATTTTTAGTTTTGAAATTATCACTTTTACTTTCTTAAGCTGGTATTTCTGAATAACTAATTCACTTATACAAATTGAATATAAATTTATATTAATGAAATAATTTTAAAATTATTATTCTTTATTTTAATTTTCTTTTATTTTTAAAAAGACTAAAAATAATAAAACAAGAAATTACAAAAGAACAGAACTTCACTTCAAAAAATATGAATTTTGCAGTATTTGTTGTAATGCATAGTGTTTTCTACCAACTAGTTATTTGGTTTTTTAATAATTTTATTGAGAAACAAATAGCAATGAGACAGTTTCAAAACTGTAGGACAGTTTCAACAATTAATGCATTGCATATTGTCTTTGTAGTGGTTATTCATAGCACAAGATGCTGACATGATATCCTGTCCAAACACTATTAGTACAAATCTTTCTTCTCATTGAATTTAGAGAAAGTAGCTGTATATCTATTCTATTTTGAATATACAGATACAAAAAGGTCATTCATTTTTATCCCCTTTTTTGTTTAGTTTTGTCAAAGAAGGGTATTCCATTGTCATTTAAATATTGTAGGTGCGTGAATTCGGCAAAATACTCCAGTATAATCCAGTAGTCCATAATAATAGTGAGCTATCCGCAGGACTGGCAATGTTAGCAGTTGTTGACCTGAGCCCTTTATAGCCCAGCATACCAACATGACTTCACTCCTTATACCTCGCTTTTTTACCTTTCTGCTGGATGGTTAAGACCAAGATAAAGCAAGACCTGTATAACAAGAAGTGTAACTTTTGTAACTGATAATGTCAGTCGAATCCCCTGAGGATTTATCCTGAAACCCTGCACTGCAGTTTGTAGATCCTTTTTCAGTGTCAGCCATGTGGATGAGTCACGGCCAGTGCTTGACCAATCTGCTGTCTGTGAAAGCCTGAGAGAATGTTTTCTCTCCCTGTGACTTTCTTTAGGTACACTCTACATCATCAATCACATTGCTTTGTGACTCTATAATCTCCTTGATCAGAAAATTTGGGACACAACTGAGTTACATTATGTTACAGTATAGGTTCTCCTATGTCCTGAGTCCTCACTGACCTTGAAAGGCGAGGGCCAAAATGTTGGCTGTCCTTGCATCCCTTCTTTTTCTCTAATTTTTAGTCTGCAAACTTAGATTGTTAACCCTCCAGAAGAGAAACTTATTATTACCCTACGACATAAGCAGTTGGGTTTAACTTGTCTGTCTGAATATCAAACATCTTAGGCATAACATGCAATAGGTATTTTCCATCAAGTATTGATATGTTAAACTTTAAGTTCCTACATAATATGAAGATTCTAAATCTGTGTTTGTTTGTTTGTTTGTTTGTGGAATTGGGGATTGAACTCAGGCCCTTGCGCTTGCCAGGCAAGCGCTTATTCTACTGAGCCATCTCCCTGGCCCCCTAATTTCTGTATGATTATAAAGTGACATAAATATTGATTCCTATTTATATTTTATGTTCTTAGGTCTTTACACAACTTAAAGTGATAGTTGTCCTATCATCATTGGAGTTGTGGTCAGCTAAAAATAAGATTCCTACATCTGGTGATGCAAATGACTTACTGCAAAAGTTTTTAGATTGGAAACAGTCTTACCTCTCCCTGAGGCCTCATGATGTTGCATGTCTATTCATGTAAGAATAATGTGTCAGTATTCCTAGAAAGAAGATACAGATCTGTGATAATGATGTACATTAATTTACGATAGATTCTTTATGGCTGCAATTCATATTTCATTTATTATGTGATTTGTTCAAGTCTTGTGTTCTCTTTCTTATTGTTAGACTATTAAAAAAGTAACACCATTTATTACTCAGCTTGTCAAACTTTTACAAATGAAGACATTTAAATTTCAGGAGGTTGATCCATCTCAGGATAGTTGTCTCCAATGTAGTAGATACATCTAGGGTTTGGATTCTGTTGGTAATTTTAGAACCTAAACTTTTAACCATCAAATAAAGATGGATTTATCTAGTAAACTTTATATTTTGAGTTTAAGTTTAATCAAAAGTTTGATTACTTATAAGTGTTTTGTCCTCATAAATTTTCTACATTACTTTTAAATTAATTCTACATTACTCTTATAAATGTTTTATAATGGCAAATTATTTTTCTATACTTCTAATCATGTTCCTATTAGATTTGTTAGTGATAAACAAAGATTTTTATATTTGTATGTACTTACATATTTCTCTCTGTATATATCTGTTAATTACTTTTTTCACTTTGCTGAGACAAAATATTTAATACCCAAAATTAAAGAAAAAAAGGTTCATTTACCTCAATTTGTAGAGGTTTCAGTCCGTAATCAGTTAGCTCCAAGGCAGGGTGGCAGCGCTGAGGGGCAACAGTTCATGGCAGTGGAAGATGGAGAAAGTAACAAGAGCAAAAAGGGGATGCAAGCCTCTTTCTCTCCCTTCTAGTGTCTTCAGGCTACCTGCCCTCAGGCAGGTGTAGTATTCATGCCATCTCCTTGCTCTTCTTTCATACAGGCTGAAGATATTTACAAAGTGAGGGCACTGGCCTACTGCTGAGCCACACAGTTAAATTTCTAAACTTCTCAAGTTGATGCAATGTATCAATCATTATAATATTTATGTATATTAAAGGTGGCATGTTGTTACTTTGCATGTGAAAGGGGAATCCTTCCTTCACATATCAGTCACTGCTAAATGTTATTATTCTTCAATTTTGCCAGTGTGATGGACTTAACGTTAATGTCATTAACATCTTTATTTCCTTTTTTTCTGATGACTAATGGATTAGAGAATCTTTTAATGTGCTTTTGATCATTTGTATCTGTTCTTTTGTAGTGTCTTTTTATGGCATTTGACTTTTTGCTTTTGATTTGTAAGTATGTATTGAATCTTTAGATTTTTTTTATTTATCCATATGGGAAATTATTTTTCTCTACCTGTAATTTTTTTCTTTTGCTACATGAAAACTTTTACATTTTATACATCTACATTTCTTAGAGTTTTCTTTTTACTTTTGCATTTTGTGTATGGTTAAAGGGTCTTGCCCTGATCTATATTTTAGTTTACTAGCTTTTAATGATTAATATTATTTATCTTTATTATCTAAGTTTTAATAAAGGTATTAATTCTAATATTAATATGCAATATAAGACATGGATACAGTTATCTTTTCTGACCTTGAAAGAGCCACTATTTCCACCAGTTTTATAAGTTCTTCTGTGAAATATTTGTTTGGTCCCATAAATCATCTGTTAAGGTTATTGCAAGTCTTAGAGGAAATTTATTAAGTCAGTTTGGAAGAACTAACTTATTTATAGTGTAAATATCCCGTATGCGTTTTTTATATTGCGTGCCAATGAATAATTATAATAAATTCTTCAATTTTTGAAAAGCGTTCTCTAAATCTCTTGGGAAATCTGCAGTTTTCTGCAGAGATCATATATATAATTTTGATATTTTTTCTAGGTTAATTTTATGTGGTAATATAAAATTTTTTATGTTATACTATATGTTAGAATATATATAAAATGCATCTAATTTTTACTACTATGAAATTTAGTTTTTCAATTAATAGACTTCTTAGAGGAATTTTAGTTTGTAGGTGAATTAACAGAAACTGAGTTTCCAATGTTCTCTCCCTAGTCCCTGTAATTTCACTTTTTGTTTACAATAGTATTATAGTTTTGCTGCAATGTTGACACATGGTTATTGACAAAGTCTATAGTTCACACTAAAATACTTTCTTTGCGTTGCGTAAATATGTTTTAAAATTATAGAAAATTATATGTTGAGATTTTCTTATTTTAATATGTAATTATTTGAAAAGTATGATAGTTTTGTTTCTTTGTATCTAATAATTATGCTATTCATTTCCTTACTCCTTTTGCTAATGACACCAAAATTATGGTGGAAAGAGTTTGTGATCACCAGTGTCTTTTTCTCATTTTTGATTATAAAAGGAAAAACCTCCTATAATAAAGACTCAGGAATGGTATATGTTATAGAGCTGGGAGACATCTTTTTTTTCCTTGTACTTCTTTTTGTTGTTGTTGTTATTTGTTTATTTTTTATTTATTTTATTCTTAAAAAGAATTTTGTTGAGAAACAAATAGCAGAGAGACAGTTTCAAAACCGATTACTACCACAGTTTCAATAATTAATAATTGCATATTGTTGTCTGAGAGGTTATGCATTGTACAAGATGCAGACATGATATCCTGTCCACAAACAGTAGTAGAACAAAGATTTCTATTCATTGAATTAAAAGAATGCAGCTCTATGTCTATCCTAACTATTTTGAGTATACAGATACAAAACAGTCATTCATTTGTATCCCCCTTTTTGGTTAGTTTTTTTTACAGAAGGGCATTCCATTGTCATTTAAATATTGTAGGTGCGTGAATTCAGCAAAATATTCCAATATAGTCCAGTATTCCATAATAGTAGTGGGTTATCCGTAGGATTGACAATGTCAGAAGTTCTTGACATGAGCCTTTTACAACTTAGCATATCAATATGGCTTTAGTTTTTATACTTCATTTTTATACTTTTCTACTGCATGGTTAAGACCAAGATAAAACAAGACCTATATAATAAGAAATGTAACTTTGGTACCTGATAAGGTCAGTCAAATCCCCTCAGGCTTTATCCTGAAACCTTGTACTGCAGTTTGTAGATCCTTTGTCAGTATCAGCCATGTGGATGAGGCACAGCCATTGCTTGACCAAGTTGCTCTCTGTGAAAGCTTGAGAGAATGTTATCTCTCCATGTGACTTTCATTGGGCACACTTTACATCATTGGTCACTTTCCTGTATGACCCCATAATCTCCTATATCAGAAAATTTGGGATACAACTGAGTACATGGTGTTATTGTATAGTTTCACCTATGGCCTGAGTATTCACTGACCTTGAAAGGCTAGGACCAAAATGTTGACTGTACTTGTAGCCCTTCTTTTTCCTCTAGTTTTTGGTCTGCAAACTTAGATTGTTAACCCTCCAGAGGAGAAGCTTATTATTATTACTGTACAGTATAGGCAGTTGAACTTAAGCTCACTATCTGTCTGAATATCAAACATCTTAGACATAACATGGAACAGGTATTTTCCATCAAGTATTGATATGTTAAACTTTAAATCCCTCCAGAATATGAAGAAAAAAATTAAAAGTATTTAAAATATAGGAATAAACAGTTATATATTTTTACACAGAAATTCAAAAATCTAGCCATATACAGCCTTGTAGTGGGACAGTCCTGTGATATTTATTTTTCTTATCTCTTTTTTTCATTTTTTACCCTTTTTTAAAAACAAACATTTACTTGACAGACAGTATGGCAGTAATTGGTATGTTTTGACAAGCAGTATGTATTTAGAAGAAGAGATTGACAGGCATTCCAAGGGTGGATCTACCCTTGCACATTGCTAACTTCAGACTTCAGTGCAGTTGCCCAGCTCACAAGTATCAGCATGTACTGTTAGAGGGTGAGAATCCTAACAATCAACAGCTAGTTTCAAAACCATGGTGAAGATTCTCAGGATCATTGCCTTACCCATCCTGTGCATATAAATACATGGGTTTGCCACTGTTGTGCCTCATAGCTTTTTTCCTTGCCCTCTCATCATTGTCCAGTCCTTAAGCTCTCACTTTCCTTTTAATTGTGTTATACCTTTCTATTTTTATTTCTTCTTTTGAGTTCTTATACTAGGGAGACTATACATATTTACACATGTAGGTCTGATTTATTTCACTTATGAGTGTATCTTCAATTGGCATCCACTTAAATTTCAAGGCTTTTAGCTTATTTCTTATAGATGAGTAATACACTATAAAAATACCACATCTTTTTCATCCATTCTTCGAGTGTTGGGCATCTTGGTTGTTGTCAAGATTTGACTATCACAAATTGTGCTTCTATAAACATAGGTACACACATATCACTATGATAAGATGTATTCAGTTCTTCTGGGAAAATTCCCAGTAGGGGGATAGCTGGTTTCAAATGGATTTCCAGTCCTGGTTTTTTAAGGAGTCACCACACTGATTTCCATAATGGTTGCACCAGTGTACGTTCCCACCAGCAGTGGAGAAGGGTTCCTTTTTCCCCACAGCCTCTCCAACATTTCTTGTTGGTTGATTTCTTTATGATAGACATTCTTTCTGGGATGAGATGGTATCTCAATGATGTTTTAATTTGCATTTCATGATGTCTAGTGATGTGGAGCAGTTTTTCTTATATTTACTTGCTTCTTCAATTTCATCCTCTGAGAAGCATGTGTTCATCTTGGATTCCCATTTCTGGATTCGGTCTTTATATGTCGGGGCCCTAATGTTTTTTAGTTCTTTATAAATTTTAGAGAGCAGACCTTTATCTAAGTGCTTATTAGTTAAGATGATTTCCAACTTTGTGTGTTTTCTTTTCACTTTGGTGGTACTTTCTTTTGATGTGCAAAAACTTGTCGATAGGAGAAGGTCCCAGTTGTTCATTGTTTCAAGTGTTACCTGTGCAATTTAATTTTTGTTCATGAACTCTTTGCCTACCGCTATGTCTTCAAGAGTTATTCTTACTTTCTCTTCCTGCAGATTTAGTGTTTTTGTTTTAATGTTAGATCTTTAATCCATTTTAACCTTAGCTTAGTGCATGGTAATAGACTTGGG